TATTTTAATGACCAAATGTTATAATATTCATCAACATTGAAATGTGTGCATGATAACTGCCTGAAAATGGTAATTGTTCTACCTAAAACAATGCAATTTTGAGCCAAAACCAAGGGGATCCGTAACCATGGCAACGGGAACATAAAACAAATATGTCAATATATTTCTTAAATGTTTTTCAATAGCTACCAACAAACAAAATTTCAAAAAAATCTGAGACTATGCGTGCCGCAACTTAGATTCAAACAAAGTATTCTCTGAAACTGACATTATCAAGATGCTTGATTTCTTGATTGTTACGTTTGGAGGACGTGTTTTTCAACAAACTGTCGGAATTCCAATGGGAACCAATTTTGCTCCTCTTCTTGCCGACTTGTTTCTTTATTATTATGAGGCTGACTTCATACCAGAGATGGGTCCGATTACTTTCAATGTAATTGATTAAATTACAATAACTTTGTCAATTGTACGATTAAATTAAATTAATGATTACATCATTTTTCAAAGTAGCTGATTAAATTAATGATTACATTGGCAGGTAATCATGATTACATCTGATTACAATGAATTTCAAAATAACCCATTTGAATGATGTTAATATACAGATATATAAAGATTATAACTGTAGCATGTTATAAGAAAGGATTTTATGTGATAAAATTTTCTACATTATGAAATGTCTGTACTAAGTCAGGAATATGACAGTTGCTATCCATTTATTTGATGTGTTTGAGCTTTTGACTTTGCATTTTGAATTTTCCATGGAGTACAGTATTTTTTATTTTACTTTTTGATATGTTATTGAACAATTACCTCAAAATTCGTCGATTTAATATACCCCAAAGATTCACAACATATATACATGAACATTTTGTCACTGATTATGGCCCTTTACACTTTACCATTAGATGTATATAATTATTAATCTTTGAAATATTTTGACTTCGATTGAATAAAGGTAAATAACATAAATAAAACAGTCAATATTCAAATAAACTTTTATATGTGAATATATGTATAATAGTTTTTACTTAGCTTAGGCTAACAAGGACTTTCAATACTGTTACAGTTTATTTATTCATATTTTTTTGATTTATTCAATAAAAATTAAACTCAGGGTCTTAATTGTCCTTATTAACCTCAAATAAATCTAATAAATCAAACATATTATAATAATAATCCTTATCATTAGATGAGTCAAAAAAGTTTGAAGTTGTCTTTGTATGTCCAGATATAACACCTGCATAACTTAAAAATTTTCACACAATTTTATGATTTTTTTCATTGTAATCAGAATGTAATCAAAAAGTAATCAGGATTACAAGGTATTTTGAAAAGTAATTGATTAAATTAAATTACATGTAATCAGATTTTTGGCTGATTAATGATTACAATGATTACTTGAAAAATTGTAATCGATTACAGCTGATTAATGATTACAATTACAATTACCCCAAGTCTGCTTCATACAGGAACTTCTTAGGAAGAAAGGAAGAAAGCAATATCCTTTAACTTTACGTTCCGCTATATAGATGATGTTCTTTCACTAAATAATACAAAATTTGGTGACTATGTTGAAAGAATCTATCCCATCCAACTAGAGATAAAGGATACTACAGATACAGTCAAGTCTGCCTCATATCTTGACTTACATTTAGAAATTGACAATGAGGGTCGGTTGAAAACAAAACTTTACGACAAAAGAGATGATTTCAGCTTCCCTATTGTGAACTTTTTCTACATTTCTATGTAGCAACATTCCAACAGCGCCTGCATACGGAGTATATATCTCCCAATTGATACGATATTCCCGGGCTTGTATTTCCTATCATGATTTCCTTGATAGAGGATTGCTGCTCACAAGGAAGCTATTAAACCAAGAGTTCCAAATGGTGAAGTTGAAATCATCCCTTCGTAAATTTTACGGACGCCATCACGAGTTGGTTGACTGTTATGGAATAACCGTTTCACAGATGCTATCGTATATGTTCCGTATGTCGTAACTACAATACCCTTCCCTTTTCACGAATGTGACCTACCGAATTAGACTATTTATCGGATTTGTAATAACATAAGCAACACGACGGGTGCCACATGTGGAGCAGGATCTGCTTACCCTTCCGGAGCACCTGAGATCACCCCCAGTTTTTGGTGAGGTTCGTGTTGCTTAGTCTTTAGTTTTATATGTTGTGTCATCTGTACTATTATTTGTCTGTCTTTTTATTTTTGGCCATGGCGTTGTCAGTTTTTTTTCGATCTATGAGTTTGACTGTCCCTCTGGTATCTTTCGTCCCTCTTTTAGTTGGTAGCTACAGAGAATTGTTATTAATTTTAAGCATTTGCTTCTTAATCTGGATAACCTGATTCAATGTCCTTCGGTTTGATCATGTTGCCTTTACTTCTTCGTGTGTTTTTATTTTGAAAGTAGCAAGTTAAACATTGATGATGCGAGGATATTTAATTCTATAAGGGGTTCTAACATTTCCATGTTTTAGTTTCTTAATACTCAAGCTATGGTGAAGTTGATTTTGTTTTTTATAGTAAACCTTAATAATAAAAGCTGACTTTGCACTTCATATATGTTTGCATGCATATCACCAAACAAGTGTGAATAAGGCTAATTAAGTTCTCTCATTCAGATAACTGATACAAATATTGCAGCACTATCATTGCATATAATGGAATTAGCAGCTGATCAATTTATGTTTTAATATTGAAATTTAAAGTTTTTTTTTTGAGGAAAAAGGGTTAGTGGGAATTACCCATGTTCCCCCGCTAGTAATCTGGATGAAAAATTTCATGCCAAATTCCATCTATATTTTGAAGATATTTGCAGTGACATATTATTCTCAGAATGACTTGTTTTCTAAAAATCGTTCACTTTACATGGTGTAGCTTGACAGATTAAAAAAAATTGATAGTCAAATGACCAAATAATATCACTTAGTTGTAAACTTATATAAACTAAAAAAAAAAACAACATTTGAGTCTCAGGTCTACCGTGCAATATTAAAAATTGAGGTGTGTCAAATTGTCATCCTTTCTAAAGTTAAAATGTCTTATATATGTTTAATGTTAAGCATAAAACCATTTCAAATTGGCTTCTTCTAGAGTATTACGTAAAAGAAGAGATAAATTAAGGTAGGATCGAAAGAATATGACAACTGTTTTCCATTTGTTTGATGTGTTTGAGCTTTTGATTTTGCCATTTGATAAGGGACTTTCCGTTTTGAATTGTCTTTGGAGTTTTGTTTGTTTTTTTACTTTATTTTTAGAAATAAGAAAATCTTCTCATCAAGTACTTGAACCAATTGATTGAAAGCAACAAAACCATGAAAGGGTTATAATTAATGTTTGTTCTATTAGTGGCACCCACTATGTTGTCATTACAGAAAAAATAAAATTCGGTATTTTATTCCTTGATTAGTCATGAACGAAGTTAGAAGACATGATTTGGGTACACAGATTGGAGCATATTAATAGTCATGTAAGACTGATACTCTGTATTTGTCAAACTAGTCATTATGGCGTCTGTTAAATTTAAGATTAGATTAATTCATTTTTTTTTTAAATCCTGGCTTCAGTATCTTCCTTGAAGAAGTAACCCTTTGTTAAGAACATCCTTAAAGAGAATTTTTGATATCTCACGTTCGTTATGTTATATATCCATTATCATACAAGTAATATTTTCCGATTTTAAAAACTTCGAAACTTCGAAAACAGACAACTTCGATTTGTTTGACCTAAAAGTAAAAATATCTTTCGTCATTTCTTAGAAAAAGTATAAAGTTTTCTGTCGATTTTTTTGCGTATTATGAATATTATAATATCGCTTTTGTGCTTCCTCTATCAGGTTACACATTAGTCCATCCCCGTTTTTTGTTGGGTACTTGTAGCTCAATCTTTGATATCTAAAAGTTTAGGGTTATGAAGACTGTTGTTTGTCGTTACTTACATTTTCGTTTTGGTCATTTTGGGCATCTGTGTTGTCTGTGTTTTTACTTCGACTTATGATTTTACATTGCCCCTTATGATCTTCTCCTCTTTTAAACATTGTCATATAAGCGGGAGGTTTGGCTAGCCATACACCAGGTTCAATCCTCCATTTTTTCTTAAAATGTCCTGTACCAAGTCAGGAATATGGCAGTTGTTATCAGACAGTCCGTTTCTATGTATGTTGGCGTTTGCTTTTGTTGTAGTTCAGTGTTTCTGTTTTTCCGTTGTTTTCTTCTTATAGTTGATGTGTTTCCCTCGGTTTTGTTTTAGCTTAATCAAATTATAACTATTGAACAGCGATATACTACTGTTGCCTTTATTTAACAACCTGTAGAATATTGCATCAGCTGGAAAATTTATACACCGTTTGCTGATTGAGTTTTGATACGCGAAAAAGGAAATTTTACATAAGGAATAATTGAAGATATATTTCTTTCCAAATTATTTGAACCAAATAATTATAAGCATAGAAATACAAAATCACTGACATAGATGTGACTTCCACGTTGATCCTGATTATTCAAATGTTTAATACAATACAGAAAAATCTAATAAGAAACATAACTATGACACATTGGGAGCAAAGTACCAGTAACATTTTGAAACCAAGAAGAGCAAGACATTTATAGCTTACTATGCGGTATGGGTTTTATTTGTTGTTGAAGGCAGTAAGGTGACCTAAAGTTGTTCAATTTTATGTAATTTGGTCTCTTGTGGTGAGTTGTCTTATTATTCAATTATTCCACATCTTTATTCTATATGATTATCACAAAGGATCATTTTTAACAAAGACGTTAATCTTCATTATTGTCAAGAATTGCAGGAATAAGCTACTTTTACAGCTAAACTTTTGCAACATTATACGAAAGATCATATATAAGTTCAGAATAATGAAGAACATCTATTGTTTGTTTCTTGTAGCAGATTAAATGTTATCCTTTTGGTTTCCATTACTCGACAGACGTCGTGTTTCGGTTGATATTTACATTGATTTATTTCTATACTAAAGTGAGTAAAGTTTTTATTTAAAAGAGAATTGGATAAATTATACAGAAAATAAAAATATGATGAAATGAACTCAATACTTTATTGAATTTATATTTAATAATTTTGATAGATGATTTCGTCCTACATGACAACTATTGTGTAGAACAGATTTATTGTATGAAAGAAACGTATTATTATTCACATACGTAGATCTTGTTACGCTCTATACTAGACTTGTAATTACAAATGTTAAACTAAGCAGAGCTGTTGACGTTACAAAGAACGTAGTCATTTCAAATCCTTCGATCATTTAAGCATATAGCAAAGTTAATACAAATCCGAGAAAAGTTTTAAAATAAATATCCTCTTTCATAAAAGTATATTTCAATAATACACGATGAATTTAAACAAATTAATAGATGATGATGTTCATAATTTATAAGGTATCAAGATCGTTTTATGGCTTGGGTTTTGCTTCAGATGCACGATGCATACGTTGCTTCAGTCCCGTTGTTTTTCTTGACAAAAGACGTTTGATATTTTTGAGATTGCGCTCCGTGTTTTTCCGAGCTTTTCTTTCCACGTTGTCCGCCTTCTTCTGCTTTGCCGCCTTTATCTTTCTTGTAATCAGCTGGTAGACCTTTGTTTTAAGCTTTTTGTCATCTACATTTTCTCCCAAGTTTCTTTTTTTGATAGAATCATTGGCTTTCTTTATTCCACGTTCATATACTGAAAGCAATGAGATACATCATTTTATACAAAACTTAAGACAGGGACAGCGCAAAGTTGAAAACAATCGGAACTATTTAATTGTCTTGAATTATTTCTATTATTTATTTACATATGAGTTTACTTGTTTCACCGATTTAATTTGTTGATTTGGACATAAAACATTTACTTATAAATGGTTAAATGAATCTCAAGAGTCAATTAACCACTATACATCGAAAGAAAATGAATAATAAAAAAAAGCAAAGGTCCACAAACTATATAGAAACTTCAAGAAATCATCATTTAAGCCTTGAAAAGATCTGGACCCATGTGCTCTGATTGGGTAGACATTTCTTTTTCAACTAGTGACAACAATCAGGCAACTAAAAATACTAAAACGGGGTAATTGAACAGTTGTTTTTTTTTAAAATTTTTTATGCAATGTTGTTTCTTGATCTTTCCAAAATACAGTTCGGTATGATAATAATGAATAATGAATAAAGTCGATCTACAATGTATTAAAGGCTGTAATTTGTTGACGTAAATTATACTCCTATCCTTTGTCTTTGAGAGTGTTTTGAATATTAAACTATCAATATACCTGTACAGAACCATTCGTTTTCCATACTGGAACAACTGTCCGCTCCACTACATATGTCATTGATATCGACACAATGACCACTGATGCATTCTTTGACATTTCCATTTGTGAGATCTGTATTTTGAAAAAAATTGTGAAATAAAATAATGATTTTGATCATTCAAAAACTAATATTTATTCTAATTACTAACAGAAAATCTCCGTTATTGTTTTCGTTGGCAGAGCGGTCTAAGTACTTTATCTACTGTATCACTAACCTGAGGTTGCGAGTTTGAACCCCTCACATTGCAGGTGCTTTTGAATCTAATCTTAATTGACTTTCGGACGGTCGGTCTTCCTGCACTACTAAAAGCTGGTAGTCATGATATAGGAAAAAATGATAAAAATTGCGTTAAACACCAACAATTAATCATATAAGCTAATTGATCAGTTGCATGCAGCTTGCTTACATAAATGTCTTTTCTTGTAAATCAATTTGAATTTTCACCTATTTAAGTGTCTAAATGTTCAATGTGTACACATTTCATGATCCACAAACTTAACTTTGTAGTCAAATGATTCATGAATGTAACTAAAGTCTGCACATGTCAATAATTTTTGACATTTTGATGACAATATTAACAGTTTTAACATCTGACCCATGAATGGCTTTGTTAAGTAAGTTAATATGCTGCTGAAGTTAATTACTGGACATTATGCAATTGTATTGAACAAACATCATTTTCTAGATTAACGCAATTTTGTAATGGTGAAAAATTCGAAACAATATCTATCTTAAAGAGAATGAAATGCATAACTACCTTAAACAATGCTTCGACTATATTTTATTAAATAACGTACTTACCACAGTCATAGTAATCATACCAATCATTCCAATCATAGTTATCCAAATAATCATCAGCATACCAATCGTAATATTCATAATCATCATTCCAATCATAATCATAATCATCTGTCCAGTAATCATAGTAGCCATCTGTCAAAATACAAACCCAAAATAAGTGACATCACCAATAATATATCATATTCATTAGCTGCAAGTCAATTAAAAGTCATAAACCAGGAAGGACATGTTTAATTCTAAAAAAATCGTTAGAATTATATTTTTGATTTATAGTAGATTATTGAGATAACTTTTTTTTCTTGGAACAGAACTATTTTGTGCAAAAATACCGCCCGCCTCTTTTTTTTGGCTAAATTAAAGATTTTTCCCTATATAAAATCTGTTATTACCATTCTTTTCTAAAGTAAATTTGAAGACGAATTAAACGTTGTTTTATACAATTATATTTTCAAGGTAACGATTAAGAATTCTTAGCCTGATATTTAAAATTTTGCCAAATTTACAAATCATGACACCAACTAATTGCAAATAAGCAAGTTGTTAAAGTAAAACAGTGTGCCATATATGTCGGTCAAGACTATACAATGACAGTTCTCGCAATATCTCCAGAGGGATGAACAGAATAATTATTATCAACTGAAACAAAACACTGCACTGAAATAGATAAGACAGCTCTACATGTGTCTCCTCAAGTTGTTTTTTTTTTCTTGCACATCACCCAATGAATAATAGGCTTGCTTTTAACTGTATAATTTTTCAGTTACAAGTTTTTAAATTAGTTAAACGTGTTAATTTTTAGGTCTTATTTACGGATGTAAACAAAAAATATTTGATAGTTCTCTAGGTATGAACATTTTTATTGAATTTTGTTGTTTAACGTAGAAAATAATTTGAAATTAAAGAATGAATCTGCCTTAAATATAAGTCTGATTCCTTTTCTGATTTGGCCAACATGTTTGGTCCTTTCAGACATGAACGTAAGGAATGTAGCGTGGTCAAACATTTTTTAAGTGCTATACCACCCATTAAATAATTCATAAAGGTTTATGAAACATTAAGACAATATATTATTTCTTACCCCATCGTTTGTTAGGTTTGGTTGGAACAGATACAACAACTGTGACAGCAATTGCAATTAACAGCGGCAGTAGCAAAGATTTCTCCATTGTAAAACTGTGAAAAACAGAATTATTTATAATTGATTTAACCTTCCTATTACATAATTGTGTTATCCATGTTGTAAATTTTGTACAAATTTGGCACATATACATACTTTATTTTAACAACAAACTCAAAGTAAATCAAATCTCTCAATAAAATATTGCATAATGATAAATTAAACTTAATAAAAAAAAAAGCTTAAAGGTTACAAGAGCGCAAGTATTCGTACTGCATTTTTCAAAGGTGTACCAGTGGTGTTCCATATTTAATTTTTTGATGACTACACAAACTAGAAAAAATGGATAGCAGTTTCTGTTACTAGAAATGTCAACGTTGTATAACCGCTAACAAATATGTCTCGGTGATGCGGCAAAAGTTGACTAAAATTACAGTTGAAAAACAACGTCTATTTTTTCGCTTAATGAAAAGGGCACTGTTTTTAGGTCAAGGAACAGTAAATTGCCTATGTCACAGATTTTGGTGAATTTTGCATACAACTTTGGTTTATTGATTTATATCTGAAAATCTTTCATTTTCTGAAATATTACTGATTGATTTCTTTCAAATTAGGTAAACATTTGTATAGCAGGCACCTGCAATCGGCGAAAAAATCTTAAATTTGTCTTAAAATCATCAAATTTCCAATTTTAATAAATAAATTTTTCTTAAAAACCTATATGTTGTCGGTACAAAAATTTCCGTTTTAATGATGTAAAATAATAATCATGATAATAGGGTCACCGACTTCGTTTTCACGGTTTACATCAATCAAAGTGGTGAACTAAGTGAAAAAAATACAAAAAACGACAAATATTTGTAACGTTATCGCATTGTAGCCCGTAAAATGTCGATTTTTGACTTTTTTTTCACTAACAACAAGGTAACAGGTAATGCACCAAAAACGAAGTCGATGACCATATGATTATTCTATATCATTAAAATGGAAATTTATGTATTAACAACATATAGTTTTTAAAGAAAAATCTATGGATTTGAAACTGGAGATTTAATGATTTTAAGACAAAATTATGGACGTTTTTCGCCGATTTGCTTTCTATACAAATGTTCCTACTTTGAAAGAATTCAATCAGTAATATTTCAGAAAATAAAAAAGATAAAGGCATTTTTTTTTCGATTTTCACTGATAGTTCAACGAGCCAAAATTGTATGCAAAATTTACCAATTTCTGTGACATAGCCAATTTACTGTTCCTTGACCTTAATGGCTCCGACTATTTTGAGTACCATCTTAAAACTCTAAAAACTTGCCGGAAAAATGTAAACCAATAATTGCGCTCTTGTATACTATAGGCATATGGTATTTCAAAATCTGATAAAAAAAAAGGTGAAAAATGATTAATATACTTGAATGGTTTAGTTGTACTATAACAAAGTGTACATAGACTTTCTTATAAATGAAAATCCTTTATTTTCTCAATATCAATATCGGGAATGTGACAGTTGTTTTCCATTCGTTTGATGTGTTTGAGATTTTGATTTTGCCATTTGTTGGGGGACTTTCCGTTTTGAGTTTTCCTTGGAGTTTGTTATTTTTGTTATTTTACTCTTTTCTTATGAAATGTACTGCTAATAAATTACTGTCTGCTCGTACGCTAATTCAACCGACCATTTTTTCCGTATGGAGTGACCTTAACACTGACACTTTCGTTAGAAGCACAAGTGCGAGGGGGAAAACCGTGACGAAAGAAAAGGAAAGCACACGGGGAAAGAAGATATTTACCGATTCATCATTTAACATGGGAACACATTGAAAACATAAACATTACCAGAAATTCGTTCTATATGACTTTAAATAAAGTAAAACAAATGAAAAACATACTCTGTTACAAAATATTGTTATCAAGTGAAATAAAATAATTGCTTACGTCGGCGTTTTAGTATGATTGTAAGTTATAGCTTAATTGTTAAACGACAGTAAAAAACTTACCTGCCAACTGACAGGAGTACGACAGAGCGTCCAATTGGCAAAACATTTGTTTTATATCCCGACATTAATATCACATGTTAAAAAAATATAACCCGTAAATTTGTTTAACAAGCAAACGGAACAATGAACTCGATTTTAAATATTTTGATTCTTTTATTGTTGTCTGCAATGTGATATTCATCTGACAAAGCAAATTCTATTTCAAAAGTCAGCTTTTTAAAATCATTAAATGGTAAGATATCGAACAACAATATTTTTGCAAATTTACGCTGATTTATATCTGAAAAGCTAAACATAAAGACATATGTAGTCCTTAGTTTTTGGAGAAACAATTGACAATAATTTATGAAGACTTAGGGCGCCCAATCGAGGTTATTAATATTGATATGAGCTTATATGCTAGATTAATTTGGAAAAGCTAAATTATAGTGTAGATGTATTGAATTTTGGAAATGGTTAATTAAATATTTATGTCCTTGATTTCGCTCCTTAAAGACATGAATAGACAACCAAAAATACATAAAAAAGGAACAAACAACAATGAAAACAAAAGCTTGGTCCTACTTAAGCATCTCGTCTATAGAACACATAATCTATCCTATTTTTCAACCATACGATAAGAATGATCAAATGGCATCCTCAAGACTACATATTTTGGTAAATTGCTAAATATTTGATCAATTTTAATGGGAACTATTCAGACAAAAAGTGTGAGAGTGTGGATCCTCTTCGTAATAGATACAAATTATAAAATGTGATCTTTTAAACTTATCATTTTTGTTTCCCAAAAAGCGGGGGATGTGTTTTATTGATGTAAACATGAAAATAAATAAACCAAGAGTTTTTCATACATTTCACTATATCAAAAATTATTGTTTAACCATTTGTAGTATATCATAAAACGATAAATGAAGATTAAAAGATTTCTCGTGTTCAGGGATATATAGTCAGCAATGATTACTTATCAGGAGACAAGCACTTTGTCTGTTGATTTCGAATTTTGGAGTACAAGCGTATCACATCACCTGTAACTGTGTCTACTCTATTAAAAAGCCAGAAAGAATGAGAAAAAACGCAATAATAAAAACACCAACACCCACATTAAATTGATCATACGTACAATTTGATGCCGGTCAAATACATTTTATTGTTTAGGTGATGTTTTTCGTGATGATTATGTTTAAACTTATGTAGTGTCGATTTCAGTCGTTTTTCTTCATAACTTTGTTGAAGCAATTTTTTGTGTAAGGAGCACATCCCTGTTAATGAATTCCGGATATAAGATGTAAGTACTCATTGAAATGTGGGTAATTGAGTGACAGAACATTATCAATAAATCTGAAAGTAAAATTCAAGAACTTTGCAAGATGCCTTTTCGTTTTGTCTTTTAGAAAGTTCTGTATGCATTATACTTCATATGAGTACAATTAAAACCCATTTAAATATCAAACCAAATTATGGCTGCTTGCACTACAAGGCTAAAGAATAATCATCTTGTTTTAATTCAATTGTACCTTTTCTGTTGTTAATTGGTAAGCAATTTAGATGAGAAAGCCTTGGTAATAGCATATTTTCTATTAACAACATAAACACCTTATACTAAAATATAATTTTTGACGACACATTTACACCACAATCTACATGGAACCAAGAACAATCCTATGTCAGTAAGTGTTTCAGTTGGTAAAAAATATTGCAGCAATCAAATAAAAAACAAATCATATGAAATGGCATGTTCGTATAATATATCAACCAGATAAAAAAAATCAGATTTCAGGTTTCTTACTTTTTACCTATCCTCAAATCCTTTTTTAGTATTTTGAAGATTTTATTGATATGAAAGAGTTCTATTTAGAAATACTGCTTAAAAACTTCTTACTTTTATTCTTTACATTCATTGAAGCTGTAAACATTTGGTTTCAAAACCTCTGACGTAGGCTGTATCGTACCTATTCAGAAAAGTTATTGGTATGCAGTCAAGTGGTTCTTAAGTCGTTAAGAAGGCCATACTATATTGCCATTAAAAGAAGCTCAGGGGTGTCTTTTTAAATATTTATTGTCTTATAAATTAATGACCAGGATTGTTTTGTAAATATCTATACAAATTCAAACTTTAACTGAAATATTAACAAGAGGCCACAAAGAGCATGTGTTGCCCACCTGGGTATGGGTATCTTCAACTATGGCCGTTCTCCAACAATGTAGTCTAAATTTATTCTATTGAACTTGTTTGCTGATCGATTTGCTGTTTACAATGTTTCTTTATTCACCAATAATGAAATGTAAGTACTCATTGAAATATGGGTCATTGAGTGACAGAACATTATCAATATGCAATTGAAAGTCGTCCAGTAGTGGTGCACAATTAGTACACATTTAATATCGAACCCATTCTGAACATTTATATTCTGTCAGATTTTCTCTATCTATAGCGTTGTTCAAGATAATAGAACAACTTACATGTTATCCTATGTTATATTTTAAGCTATGCATTAATGTTGGTTAGAAAGCAGGACTTTTTGACACAATTTTTAATTAGATACCCTAATGATAATTGTGGCCGTGTTTAGGGCTAATTGACCAGTATTTTCAGAGAAGAATACTTTTGTAAAAGTTAATGGACGACGGACACCAAGTGATGAGAAAAGCTCACTTGAAACTCCTTAAATTCAACAGCCTTTTATGATACTGAAAGATTCGTTTCTACGTATTATACAGTCGACTTTGGTGCAGAGTTGTCGTTATTCAGAGATCATATTACTTTTTAATGCCGACATAGTTGTCTCGCCAGTCACTTAACATGTTAAGATATTCAAAAGATAAGAAGTTCAACATTGAAATGTGAAACATTGAAGCCACCAGGATAAATCATTGCATTGACTGCATGAATTGAGCAAACAGGCCTAAAATAAATCGTCGTTAAACAATTGTACGTACTTTTGTTTTGTATTTATTATATTTATATTCATATTTATGTTTATATCGGGTCATACATCATCGGCCATTCTTCGGAGGTTATTTTAATAGAAATAAGGAGATGTGGTATGAGTGCCAATGAGACAACTCACCATCCAATTCACAATGTGTACAAAGTAAACAATTATAGGTCAAAGCACGACCTTCAACACGGAGCCTTGGCTCACAGTGAACAGCAAACTTTAAAGGGCCCCAAAATGACTAGTGTAAAACAGGAAAACCAAAAGTCTAATCTAAATTAAAAAAGAGAAACGAGTTAATGTTTAATTTGATGACGTCTAGTCTTAAATACACAAGAAATGATGATAAATTATTACGAGTTCATGCATTGTAAATTGTTCTTGTTTGACTTTCTATAATTTGGATGTACGTTTTAGTATGTTATAAATCAAATAAGAGAATTTGATATAAGTCGGTGAACAAGAATTTGACAGCGTATGACCCTTTAGATAAAACGTTGATACAAGGAAGATTTGAAATACCCTTCCGGAGCACCTGAGATCACCCCCAATTTTTGATGGGGTTTGTGTTGCTCAGTCTTTAGTTTTCTATGTTGTGTTTTGTGTATTGTTGTTTAATTTGTCTGTTGGTCTTTATCTTTTTTTTTCTTTTTTAACCAGCGTTGTCAGTTTATTTTAGACTGATGAGTTTGAATGTCCCTTTGGTATCTTTCGTTTCTCTTTTACTTATTCAGAGATTTAATTTTTTAATTTTTTATAAGCATCCGTTTAAAAAAAAACCTAAGTATGTAGAAGACTTATACTTTTCGTTACAAATTGTATCATATGTTTTACATATATTTCATAAATAAAAGGAAATATATGAGAATATATGTAGTGATTTTTCCTATGTAGCAGGCTTAATTTCTCACACGCTACTGGAAATACTGTTGATTAATAGTATTTGTAGATTTAAAGAAGAAGGATATCAAAACCAGACATCTTTCCTTTCTGGCTTAAAACAATACATTATTGCTCTCAAATATCATGTATATTATTATATATTAGAATGGTAGGAATATGTATGCCAAAATTATCAACAACACACCATTTCTATAACGTTGATTGAAGTCATGTGTGAATATAATCTAACTTAGCTCTCATTTTCGGTCAAAACATATGGCAGTTATAGTACAAGTATCAATGTCGCAAATTTAAGGCGCCTCATATTAATAATGATCTCAGACGTCTATTATGAAATGAATAATTACAAAACCAAAGAAAATGTATAACATAAATGCCCTTCAACTTCGTGCTTTATTCGGCCTTTTTTTACTTTTTTATTCAAACTTCACTAATGATCTTTTGTAGATGAAACGCGCGTCTAGCGTACAAAATTGTAATCCTGAAATCTATGATGAGTTTATTCATCGACTTCATCGCGCACTACATATGTCTCTAGAAAAACACTTCAGGTACTCTTTGAAAAAAAAGAAGAAACGTTTGGGAGCATAAAAACCAAGTATGTCTACACATAACTGCCAAAATTATCTGCCGTCAACTTTTGTACCGACCTTAATGTTAGTGTATAAACGTATTTAATTAACTGATATGAATATAGAGATCCATCCGTCTTGCTGATCATCTTTGTTATTTAAAGTTGGTGTCTATTTATAATAGTTTTCAAAATAATAAACAGAACACTAAAAATGGGTATAAATCGTCTTGAAGAAAACAAAATAACCCCAATAAGGGGTTTTCTAACGATTTCAACTATGCTGACTTATTTTCAGATCTTGTCTTGCTGATCATTTTTGCTAATTTAAGTTTCTATCTATCTATGATAGTTTTTCAGATATAAGACAAAAACGCAAAAATTAATAAAAATCGGCATTAAAGGGCAATTACTCCAATGAGGAGTCGTCTGATAATTTCGACCAAGTTACTCATTTGTAAATCTTGTCATGCTGATCAGTTTTGCTATTTAAAGTTTCTCTCTATCCGTTATAATTTTCAAGATAGGCAAAACTGAAAAAAAATATTGTCATTTGAGGATAATAACTCCTATAAGAAGCCGTCTGACAGATTTGATATAAATGAACAATAAAAAGAG